CAACACAGCAGCGTGCGCGCGCGCACACACACACACACACACACACCGACACACAATCACGCGTTCTTTGCGTGATAAACATATTTTATTCCTATTTTTACTTAGGATTTTTTTCTCACTCACTTTATATTAAATTCATGATTTTTATGACATTAGAAATCATTTCTGATCGCGCAGGGATCAAACAAACATGCCCTTCACACATGCAGGAAGTAATTAGCATCTGTTTAACAAATGTTAATGAAGGCGTGTCATGGGAGGTGTCTTACCTGCGCTCAGTTCTACGTTAATTGTGATGTACAAAAGCAATGTGTGTGTATTCCAGCGTACGCACAGTTTGATACATCTGGATTGTTTTGTGCGTACGCTGTTTTCTGGATTTGACCGTACGTCATGTTTCAGTAAGAAATCCACGCAAGTCTTTGTACATGAGGCCCCAGGTCAGGTAAATAATATTTGAAGTGAATCAATGACACTATTTACTTGACAAAAACAAATTAAATTTTCAAAGTGTGTAGAAAAACTAGTCTTCCTGCTTTCATAAAATAAAATGGTTAGGTGTGATCCCCACCACCCATCCAATCCAGCAGTGTGGTGTCTCTCAAGGACCTTCAGTACACAGAAGTAAATATGCATCCTAACAGATAACCAAGCTGCTATTAGCGCTCGAAAAGGACCACACTTCACATCATTACTGGCTTGGGAGTGTGGCGAAGCATTCAACCAACTGGGGAGAGATAACAGTGTTACTGTTGCACCAGGATATACTGGCACTACCTCACAAAAGCTGGCAGTCAGGTCCACTTCAAAGAACCAGAGCCTGTTGTAGGTATCTCAACAACAGTCTGTAGGACTGCCCTACAGGCTTGGATCAGACRTCAACACTGAATACACTGGAGGGAGCTGACGGACTTTAGACAGGCACGGGAACTGATAAAAAGTCCAAATGTTAGATTTGGGAAAGCTCTAAGTTCAATGGTTGGAGTCCTAACTGGACACAATCTGCTCGATCACCACAAAATGGTGATGGGACTCCATGACGATGGTCTGTGTGATGCCTGTGGCATTGAATTTTAGATCTCTTTGCACTACTTAGGCCACTGCCTGGCTCTGAGTAGTCAAAGGACCCCAAGAAGCTCAGAACACTGAATATTTCTAACCTTGTGTCCTTCATTTGAGGGATGCAAAGGTTTGAATAAAAACCAGTGTCTTTTTGGAGAAAGCAATGGGCCCACTCACAAGTAGGGGTGGGCGTATCAAATGTGGAACAATTATTGCATTATATAGTATAAATAGTGCTTTATCGTTAAATACCTCCTTGACTTTATACAGTACTGCAATAGATGTTGCCATTTTTGTTCTTGAGTAATTTATATAAGGTTTCCATGTCCTTTTTTCGTCGATAACACCCAAAAACTTCMCCTCATTGACTTTACAAATTTCAACACCATCCACTCYAAATGGAACATCAGTTGTTTTCTTTTTATTACTAAATATCATGATTTTGTTTTATCCTAATTTAATAACTTCTGATTAAATTGATATATGATTATAATTAAAAAATAATGATTAAAATATGATTAGATTATTTGCAAATAGAAAACCTAAATGTCCATTTCCAGAAGAAGTCATGAAGTTGACCATGACCTCTTCTGTTTGCTTCTATAGAGTCAAATGAAGCAAACTGAAACCAGTTGCAGTGGGACTCGATCAGAGCTGAA